AGGGTTTAGGGGTTTTGGTGTTTTGGGTTTAGGATTTCAGGGTTTAGGGGTTTTGGTGTTTTGGGTTTAGGATTTCAGGGTTTAGGGGTTTTGGTGTTTTGGGTTTAGGATTTCAGGGTTTAGGGTTTAGGGGTTTTGGGGTTTTGGGTTTAGGATTTCAGGGTTTAGGGTTTAGGGGTTTTGGGGTTTGGGGTTTAGGATTTCAGGGTTTAGGGTTTAGGGGTTTTGGGGTTTAGGGTTTGGGGAGTCTGGGATTTTGGATCCTAGAGCTTTCGGGGTTGGGATTGAGGATCCTCGGCCTCGGGTTTTGGGGTTTCAGAATTCTTTGAGGCTTTTGTGGGGGATTTCAGGAACCTTCTTATATAACTGCGGGGGTTCTGTGAGGCTTTTGTGGGGATTTCAGGAACCTTCTTTTAACTGCGGGGGAAGCAAGTAGCCGCGATGCAGCTTTGAAGGCTTTTTGGGCGTTTGGGGTCTCGAAGGGTTTGGGGTTGGAGGTCAGCAGTGTCGGATTTGGGGTTTAGGATGTACTTAGTAGCTGAGTGGATATGCTTTACACTTTTTGGGATAATATTACCCACTATAAACCTAAAAGTATACACTATTCGGGGGGGGGGGCTTATGAATTCAGCAACTAAGTTTAGGACGTGGAGGGGAGCGGTCTCCAGGATTTGGGATTCGGGGTCGAAGGATTTCGATGCTTTGTGTATTTTGGTATCTTAGGGTCTCAGGCAGCAGGTGGGCGGGGGGGGCTCCATGTCGCGACAGAAACCTCGGGGGCCTCAGGATCTCATGGTCGATTTGCTGCATTGCGACTTTTAGGGCACCCTAAACCCTAAACTTGTTTGGGGGTTTAGGGCATTTAGTGGTTTTTAAGAGTTTAATTAGGAGTTTGGGGAGCTTAGGGTTTAGGGAGTTGAAGGCCCTAAACCTCAAACCTAGTCGACAGCTGCCTCTGGGAAAAAGGAGCTCTAAAAAATTCACAAGGAGGCCCGGCTTCGAGAAGCTTCGCTTGCGAAGCATACCCGAGGCCTCTGACGAAGCCCTGCAGGCAAAGCGTGGCCTTAGCTGGAGCCACAAGACCCTAAATTGTTCAAAACAACCGACATCTCGAGGCGGACTCAGAAAAGCAGTTGAAATGTTGGTGAACCACGAATTTCTCACGTTCTCACATGAGATTCACGATTCTTTTCAGGCTCTTGGTTACTTTTTGTCAGATTCTTTTTTGCGGGGTTATGATTTTGTTTGTCAGGATATGTGACAGCCTTCTGAGGAAGAGCAGAGTAATTAATTGGTGGCTAGGATGCCCAGTAGTACCCTTATTCCCTTTTTGTAGTCCTAGGTTCCTTCTAAAGTTACCCAATACCAAAAAAAGAGGCCTTTTTATTCTTAGGTTACTGGGTATCCTAGGTGGAGTCATTGTCTAGTCCTCACAGAGGGGGTTTGGACTCCAGCACTCCCCGGCTTCCTGATCCCCAACATATCAGGATTGAAGGGTTAAGGGCTTGGGGTTTCCTTCGTTTCCTCAGTATAGAACAGACTAGAATTAAAGAGCTTAGGGCATAGGGTTTCCATAGTACAGCAAGACCCGAAATACCCCAAACATATACCGCGGAATCTGGATCTCTTGGTGGGTTGATGACATGGGAGTTTCCGAAAATAGGGAACCCTAATCTAGTACCCTAATCTGTGGGATCCGCATTATACGGACCCAGAATAAGGTACCCCCAACTTGCGGAAACTCCCATATGCTTCACTTTTGCCCAGGAGTTGCGCTCTCGCTGTTTGCCCCTTGCGGTCAACGCCCATGATATGCCTACCGAGGCACGTTGTAGAATCCTGAGTTCTTGATAAGGGGTTTAACTTAAGCTACCATGATAAGGAAACCATATATATATATATACATAAACTAATTATTTACTATCGGTCCCTAATATGGTACGTTGAGTTAAGTTCCTGAAGATTTCCCCAACAGCATGGACCCAGCTGCTCCAGGCCTTAAACTGCTAGAAACGGCTCTTGGCACTGAGGGTTTAGGGGTTTAGGGCACTGGCTTCAGGTCCTGATGCATGTTATGTACCTGTGACTCTGCTGGAGTGGGACTGTGTCTTTAGCGTGCACTCTTCTGTACAAAGACTTGCCATGGTAGAGCTATCCTGCACTCTACTCTTCGAGATTATTCGCAACGGTTCAGGGTTCATGTCTGCCTGTAATTTACCCCCTTCAACCTCGGAATCCACCCTACTCTTGGCCCAGACCATACTCTAGACCCCCTCATTACTAGTATTGCTGTAAAGTCATTGTCAAGCAGGCCCCTTAGAGCTTAAAGGGAAGCCCTCGCAGACTGGGTGGTAATGTGGGATGACAGAGACGGACGAACCCAGACCTTGAGCCCTATGGTAATGACAATGACTGTTAGACTGTAAGACTTGTAATTATGACGATCGTTGTTGTTACTAGTAGTAGTCGTAGTACTCATTGTTGTTCTTGTCTTCAGTATTAGTACTAGTATTACTAGTCGTAGTAGAACTGCTTGTTGTCACTAGTGTTAGTATTGTTTTAGTATTGCTATTATTATTAATATGGTTTTTTCAAGTATTAGCTACTTATTTGGACTGCCATATACTACTATATTTCTACTATTGTTGTTATGGATGCTGCTATTGTTACGAGCCTTGGAGGCTCCAGCATTAGCCCAGGGGCATAGGTGAGATGTCATTGCTTCGGGCTGTTTTGTGCTCCCAAAGCCGTTGGGTCGCTGCAGGGTTTAGGGTCAGTTTAAACCTTAGATTCAAACGGGAAAAGAGGGACCCTTAATGGGGACCCCTAGCCTATAATGGGCTATATAATGGGTATATAATAGCTGTATTAAGAGTATATACCTAGGGGTCCTTATTAAGGGTCCCTTCTTTTACCCTTGGATAGAAGCTGCCCCCACCCTGTAATAGTGACTAAAAGGATTATATTAGGGCCCTATTACATTCCTATTATACCACCACTATTATTATTACAGGGTGGGGGCAGCTCCTAAAGTAAACCCATAAAGTTGGAAACCGGATGAAGGCCAAATAGTGCTGGGGTTCCCTATAGATTGCTCTTAAGGACTGAGGCTGCTGGGTTTCCAACTTTTGGGCTTCTACTGTAGCATATTGGGGTCTTCATAGTTCGAATCGGGTGTTGTGGTACATAGGCGAACTACCTAGGAATAGTATTGCTAATGATCAGGATTCGGTGTTTGGGGTTCAGGACAGGCCTGGCCTAGGCGTCTTTTGCCCGGACGCCTGGATAGAATTTGTGGATAAAATTTGGAGAACCTAAACCCTAAACCTTAAACCCTAAACCCTAAATCTCTCAGGAGCCCTTGCTGGGAGAATTAGGGGGTTCCCACGTGGAAGGGGATGCATGCCGACAAAGAAGGGCATTGTATGCAAATCCAAGCTCAAGACCAGGCAGTATGGTCTGTTTTCATGATCCTTGCCCTAAATCCGAAGCCCCCTTAAACCCCGCAAACCCTACAGTAAACCTCAACCGTATTCAGCCTCTTAGAGCCAGGGAGGTCAGGAAGTAGCTTCTGACAGCTTATCCCCCTCATCAAGCCTCCCTGAACCCTAATCCCTAAACCCTAAACCGCCTAATTTCTGCAGCCCTCGATAGCCAGGTACTTGTAGCCGATCCCACGCTGCGTTGCGACCCAAGCTTCCTATGGTTAGCCTTTAGGGTTTCTTGTTAAGGGCTTTAATGTAAGTTACCATAAGTGGAATCTTTCGTAAATAGAACGCTTTCTTCATTGTGGTAACTTAAACTAAATCCTTTCACAACAGCCCAGTTTGGGCTTAGTTTCGGGATGTTCAGGGTCTGGGGTTAAGGGTGGAGAGGCGGCACGGCAGTCCCTTCTTTTAGGGTTTGGGGTTTTTTAGTTCAGGATCCGTCGGATTAAGAGTTTGGGGATGTTCAGCCTGTGAGACCCCCAAAAGACAAAAAGCTCAGCCCAGGTGTTTCGGCGAAGGAGGTGACTTTTGAGAATGCTGAATCATGCAGTACTTGGAGGTTCATGGGTAGCTATAAGTAGGGTTGTAATATGTCCCCTAATATGGGTTATAAGTATAGTTACCCTACTTATAACCCTACTTATAAATACCCGTGAAACATCAAGTACAGCCTTGCGGTTTGCCTTTTTCCAGAACGATCCTGCGCAGGAATCAAGGGACTAGCCCTCTCCTGTGATAGAACTGCTGATAGCCTAGCATTCGGAGACAATGGCATTTGCATAGAATTAGGGTTTAGGGTTTAGGTTAGGGTTTAGGACCCTGAAACCTTTAAAAAGATTCAACTGCGGCAAGGTATCCAACTGTAAGCAAAGTCGCGGCTCACCATCGGCCACCAAACTAGGGCATCAACACGCCATCGTGACTGGCTCCCTGTGCAAGTGTACGCTGCAGCTTTGGGCACGAAGACTGGTGGAGCTTGCTGCACAAATGACCCAAATTCCAACAGACAAGGTTACGGGTCCCTGATATTCTGCCAAGCCCTTAAGTCCTATAACCCTGAACCCTAAGCCCTAAACCCGCCCAACAGACGGTTCGCAGACTTGATTCGGTGCCATTCCTTCCAGCTCGGCTTGCTTGAAGCCCTCGTCTCCAGCCTTTCTGAACCTCGCGACACTAAGCTCCTGCTTTCTTTCAAAGATTAGTATCAGTATTTTAAGTATTTGTACTTGTCGGGACGAACTTAAAGACTTATGCTAGGATCCACGAGCATCAATGGCCATAGGCTTTCCCCATGGTGTGCTGTCGAAGCTTTGGTGGGCCCTTGACTGGCGAAGCGCCGCCGCCAGCCGTGCGGGCAGCACGGGGCTGCGTCAGGATATTGATTCCTCAACGTCCTAAACCCTACACGGTTACTGCCATTTCTTACTGCGACCAGTACCAGTACTGTTACTTTTATTACAAAACCCATTTAAGCACTGAGCCCCAAACCCGCAAAACTTCAACTTTGAGCAGGATGTTGACGCCTCACTATTACGGCGGAAGTTTGATGGCTTGCTGAGCGAGGAAACTCGCCTTCCACCGAGCTTCCTCCATCCGAAGCTGTGGCAATCTGCTCAGGAGTAGAGGTTTTGGGGGCTTTAGGGTTTCAGGGTGTAGGGCTTCAGGCTTTTGAGGGTTTCAGGGTTTAGGGTTTTGACGGTTTTGCAGGAGGTTCGGCTGCTGGACATCACCGGCGTTGCGGAGGCAGTGCAGAAGGCACCCATTGTCGGGCTCTGGCGATTGGCCGCATCGCAGCAGAAACCCAGCAAGCAGATTTTGGAGGAGCTTTCCACGCAACTTTGTCATAGTTGGGTAACATTGTACATTTTTATGGGTGCTTGAACTCAATAAGGCATAAAAATGTACATTTGTAATCCTACCCCAACCATGCACTAGGCAAGGGGCCCTCCATGTGCCAAAGACAGAGATTGTCCAGCGTTTCTTGCAGCTGCCCATGCCAAAGACCAAACTTCTCCGCTTGATCCAGGAATTCATGGGCATGTGCTTAGTTTCAAAGGCTGAGAAGGAAGGGCGCGCTCATGCGGCTGGGCTGTACCGCGAGCTCCCGTCGAATCAGAAAGCCTTCTTCAGCTCGATCAACCTTACGGAGTTTCTTTGTCATAGTTGGGTAACATTTTACATTTTTGTGGGTACTTAAACCGAATAGGGAATACAGTTGTACATTTTTAATCCTATCCCAACCATGAACTAGGTTTGGGGTCCTGGTCGTGAGAGCAGTTTGCGAGAATTGGAAGTACATTGAAGCCTTGACTGCGGTGCCGATTCCCGAAATGCCGGAGCCGAAGCAGGAGCAGCCACAGGAGACGGCCCCCGTTGGGATTCAACACAGGGGTCGGAATAATTTGTAAGAGTCTTCCATTACTAGGATGCCCAGTAGTACCCTTATTCCCTTTTTGTAGTCCTAGGTTCCTTATAAAGTTACCCAATACCAAAAAGAGAGGCCTTTTTATTCTTAGGTTACTGGGTATCCTAGATTACACCTGCATATTATAGTCGTATAGTCCCCTATAGGGGTTTAGGGCCTCAGAGGTCTAGAGTCTAGGGTGCCACAGGAGCCGCCTTTGGTCGAGGTCCACTGCGGTGGCTACCCCATGCCACCACACCCTGCGATACCGCCGCAAGAGTCCACCGCGTTCTCGGCTGGTATTCTTCTCACAAGTCGTGCTCTTCGAGACTACCTCCTCAGTCTGAGGGTGGCGCGCTTATGCAAAGTAAGAGCTCGAAAACTCTTCCAAGCACAAGTCTTTGGCCAAGCCCTTGATGTCTACCGTCTGGGCCAGTGGCACTGCGCCCACAGCGACTCAACCCTGTTCTCCAACGCCTCTTTGTGCTGCGCACGATTGACAAAGCCGCATGCAGCTGTAGAGCAAGCTGCCAACGCTCTCCTACTAGACGACAAGAATGCCAAGGCGGCACATGCCCTTTTGAAAGCTGAAATTTCCCTCGGACATACGGATTGCAACGACTGGCAGCTCGACGTGCTCGAGAAGCTCGGGCACTCTTATAAGACTGTGGCCGAGTTGCTGCAAGAGCACCGGGCGCTGCCTGCAACGGATCTCAGCACACTTAAGGCTGAGCTGGGCACGGACCTGCACCAGATCGGTTTGGAGCTAGTGCCTGCAGTAGAACCAAGGGTCTTCTACCTGATGGCAAATTCCGAGGGGCTGGAAGAGGAGGACGAGACCGGCGAGCTGCGACGTTGGCTACTGACGGCCGCCGTGCTTGGGGGAGTGCTGGATGCACTGCTGCCAGCAATCGAGCTCCTGAAGCAGCCAGAGAGGCTACGATCTTTGAAGGAGAGGTTGTCATCGTTGGGTAACGATTTACATTTTTGTGGGTACTTAAACCCAAATACGGAATAAAAGCTGAGAAAGTTTTAATCCTATCCCGACCATGAACTAGAGGAGATTGCAGCATCATCCCTGATCATCAATATGGAGGCTTCACTCGCCATTGGCCAAGAGACCGAGGATGACGACCTGGCATTCTTGTACCTGGCCACCGCTGCGGCAAGCCAGAACGCGGTGGTTGCCAACGATGCTGGTATTGCTCTGGTAGATCGTATTCTTGCCAAGAACCATGGGAAATGGAAGACCGGCTCTGAATACGGAACTTGGCTCATGGAATTTGGTGGCCAGGGCCGGAGAATCGTACAGCTGATGCACGAAGCCTTGCACATTGAACGGGAGGGAGATGTCGTGTCCTTCCGGCCAAAGGCTTAATCTCAGGGCTTGGCAAAACGGCTTACACCCCAAACCTTTAAACTCTCATAAAGCCCTAAAACCCTAGCTAAACCCCGAACCCCTAAACTGAACTCGATAAACCGCAGGGTTGTGAGAAGCGGTCACCCCGCGAAATCCCTGTCACTATGTCCGGAAGTTCTCGCGAGAGGCCCACAACCACAGCACCTAGCCAAAGCGCTAGATGCATTCGTTATTGGTTTAGTTGAAGCAGAACATAACTGCAGGGAAAAACTTGTGACAAGCACGGAAAAGGCGTGCATCACATGTTCAGGTCGTGATCGAGGTCTACGTTATGAAGTTGTGAACCAACCGTTCGGAATCACCCCGCTCCAAGCCCACTTGGGGAAACGAAATCCTGCATGAGAATGTAGGAACCTGATTAAGAAACCCTGTCCTACAACCCCAAAATAGTAGGGCTCATAGACGGAATCCTAGTTCCTACATTAAATTTGAACAAGAGCCGGCTTGATGCGCGCCAGTCTAAAGCCACAGCCAAGCAGGAACAGGCTCGATGTTCAAGATAAAGGTTTCTTGCTGAGGGTAGAGGTAAGTATCATATACAGATATACATCAATAGGTTGTACAAGTAAGTTTATACTTTGGATAACCTTGTATCTTATATAATGTCATATGTAACTAGATACAGAGACAGGATCATCAACGTACTTTTCTTGTCAATGAGGTCCCGGCGTCGCACTGTCGAGCGTGGAGAGCGGTTTGGAGGACGACAGGCACAGGGGCCTGGTAGCTTGGGACGGGTTCTTCAGGATTTAGTGACCAGGGTGCCCAGTAGTACCCTTATTCATTTTTTGTAGTCCTAGGTTCCTTATTAAGTTACCCAATACCAGAAAGGGAGCCCTTTTTATTCCTAGGTTACTGGGCATCTTAGGTGTTAGGGCCTACGGATTGGGATTTAGGGAATGTAATTTAGGATAAACGGTTTAGAGTCTGTCAAGATTTCACCTCGGGGTCCGCGTAATCCCTTTTACTCTGAACGGAAGAACCCCGTGGTCTGTGACCACACTGTTTGGGGCGTAACCACTACGGATCCCATGATAGGGTTTAGGGCTTTTGGAGTTCAGGGTCTAAGGTTGTTGAGTGGTATCCTAAAACCTTATACAGGTGACTACATCCTGACGCTCGTGTGGCCTATTCTGTAACCCACTATAGCTCCCGCTATAGCGACCTTTAGCATACCCGCTATTGCAACCTGAAACAACAAACCCCATAAAGTTGGAAACCGAATCAAGGCCAAATAGTGCTGGGATTCCTTATACATCACTCACAAGGATTGAGGCTATTGGGTTTCCAACTCGTTGGCTCCTACTGTAGTACCCCTTAGAGCAACCCTTGTTGAAGGATAATTTGTTGCTCTGCTACCCTCAACCTCGAACCCCATGGATTGGACGGAGACTCTGCAACAAAAGCCGGTATTATAGGGGCCTTGGTAATCACATATGCTCTTTTGGGGGGGTTCCTCATTGTAATTATAGTATAATGGGTCGCAAACCCCCGGTCCAAACTTAAGGCCCCTACATTAAAAGCCCCAAACTCCAGTCGCCCGGTTTAGGGTTTAGGGTTCAAGGTGTAGGGTTTAGGGTTGCCCTAAACCCCTCAGGCAGGCAGCAGGATTTTGGGGGGGACCCCCGTCGCCAGCTCCAGCCGGTTTTGAAGATATTCCAGGGGGCTTCCGAGGTTAAAGGGGACTTCAGGCGTGCAGGGTTTTGGTGTTACAGGTTTAGGGGTTTAGGGTTTAATAATCGGTTTGCGGGTCTGGGGTCATAGGTTTGCCTCACGCGAGCACACTGACACGGAGACACACACATTTGACAAGAGCAGCTGGCAGTGCTACATCATGGCGGGCAACAAAGAGGTCAAGTCGTCGTCTGAAGTCAAAGACTAACTGGGCTCAAGTGAACTTCGCCTAGGCTAATACAACCAATAGGTACAGATACATAGACATAGATAGATGGATAGCAGTATTAGTAGTAGTAGTAGTAGTAGTAGTAGTAGTAGTAGTAGTTGCAGCAGCAGCAGCAGCAGCAGCAGCAGGAGTAGTAGTAGTAAGAGTAGTAGTAGTAATAGTAGTAGTAGTAGTAATAGTAGTAGTAGTAGTAGTAGTAGTAGTAGTAGCAGGGAAATAAGATAGATAGGTGCCTAGATAATCGGTTGATATACGAGTAGATAGACAGAGAGATTGACAGGCAGATCGATGGTCAGGTCGATAGATAAATAGGCAGATAGCTGTACATATATCGCACGGGGGGTTACCGCATACATACATACATACATACATACATATGTATATATATATATATATATACATATGGTCGCCCCCCTCGTTGACAGACCATGCCCTTTTTTGTGAGTCGTGGCGCATGATCTGTCATCGGATGGGTGACAATCAGCCCTCCCAAAATCAATTCCAAAATTTTCATTTGTTCCAAATTCTCGCCCCTAATGTTCAGGATTTCCAAAATTGCCAAAATGTGAAAAGTTTCCAAAAGTTTCAAAAAGTTCGCCCGCATGTGTTGGAAAATCCTGTCCATTAAGTCTGGCAGTTTTGGATTTATTGGAATTTTTGTAAACTATCGATCTTTGGACATTTTGGAAGTTTTGAAAACTTTGGAAATCCTGAAAATTAGGGGATAGAAGTTTAGAAGTTTTGTAATTTGTCCTATAAGTGAGATTATTATGTGGTTTATCGGCACCACCCTCATATATACACGTGTGCCCTTTAATACCTGTATTGGGGGGCCACCCGCGTGCTTTATCGTGCCAGGCTCCGCATCGGGCTAGAACGGTTATCATTGTTGGAGGCCATCGGACGTCCCAGCAGTTGGAAGCATCTCTAAGCATGCGCGTTTTATGACAAGTAGTCTTAGTTAATACACAAACACTTATTTCTCCCACTGCTACTGTAACTAACAACTCTTCAGTGTATGAAAACGATGCATACTCTATCTATTACTATTACGATGACTATTACTTATAGTCTGACTGTGAGTTTGGCTGGGACTATGGTTATTATGATTCGTCATTTCTGATTCCGTATTTCACTAGTGGTTTATATCTGCCGTCCTTCTCTTCTCTTTGAATACATTACGGCTTATGTTTTTTTTACCAGTAGTACTGCCAATATTAGCATTGCTTTACATTATTTGCTGCTACAATACAGGCTGAAATTAAGTTAATTACAACTACTAATATTAACAATGTCCATATCTAGCACTGTTTGTGAGTGTATCCCCTTGGAATATGGATTGGAATAAGTAGATATTGACAAGACAAATTATGAGACATTGACCAACTCTAAACCCTGTTTCAACGGTTGGAACGTTAGAGTAGTCTTGCTTGATTTCACTTCTTTACGAAAACACTACTGTTATCATTGCTATAATAACCGTAATAGAATGAACATCAACGAGTCATTCTATGAGTATAAATACTATGAAGATGCAAATATGAGTAACTGAAAACTTTTTAGTAATTAGTGTTGATGTACGCAGTTATTTTGGTTGATAACAAAAGTAGTTATGAATGATAGAACGTAAACATATCCTTTTAGGTTAGTTAAGGGGTCATTCTAAGGACAGAACAGTATAAAAGTAATAGGGTCATTAAAAATGAGGCATTATACAGTAAGGGTTATACAAGTTTAGAGCAATAAGAACTAAGAAATAAGAAGCAGAGAAATGAATCAATGATTGAATTAGTGAACCTAAAAATGAGAGGAATGGAGATAAGACCAGTCAAGTATAACGACGAGTAATAACTGATATAACTCTAACCTGATAACGAAGATGAACATGGTATGAACCTTGTAACATATATATATATATATATATGGCTATCAGCTGCCATCCCTCTGTGTCTCGCCTGAAGACACTTTAGCCCCTACCCAAGTTTAACAACTCAATCAGTTGACAAGGTTTAACTCTTCTTAGTCGAAGAGTGGTGTTTCTATTAGTCGACCTGATGAATAGTAATCATACCATAATGTAGTAATACCAGTGATAGTTGTAAAAACGATACGTAATAGGAACAATATCATGTTAGTAATAACCTTAGTATAGAACTTCCGCTTGAAAATCAAAACGTTCAGGAAGTGTTCTATTGAATTAAACTGTTAAATTTCGCAAATTACTCCTTTGATTTCATTGCGCTCCACTCATTCAATTTAGTCGGAGTGGAAGGATAGATAAATGTGGTAGGAAAGTAGGTCAATTCCAAAATTTTCGAAATTGTAGAAAATTAGAAAATCTCAAAATTTCCAACCGCTACGCTCACTACGTGCCGCGCGTCTGGTGCATGCGTCCTGAGTACATGGCACATTACATGTATACGTTGTATATCTACCATAAAGGTGTTACTGTATAGATTATCGTTGTGTGTGGTGTGATTAGATACAATATCTCAGCCGAGTCACCTGCCAGGAGTACACCGTCACACGGGCATGGTCAGTCAACGGGGGGGTTAGCATATTTACATATATATATATATGTATATACACATGGAACCACACCCGAACAAGAACCCATTATTGGTCGTCCTCGAAATCGAGCTTCCAGGAAGCGAGTGTCCATGACGCTGGCAGATGCAAGGCAGGGTTTAGGGTTCCGCGAGCGAGGGGCTGGAGATCCAAGAGTTTGGGGGGGTTTAGGGTGGAGGGTTTGGGGTTCCGGAGGCGAGTGGCTGAAGGGGCAAGAGTTGAGAGTTCAGGGTTTGTGGTTGAGGGTTTCAAGGTTGGTTTAGGCGTGTCTTACTGTTCGAGGCTTTGGTTTTGGGGATTAGGCTCGCGACTGGCGCCCGATATTCCCAGATTGGCCAACGATCTGGAACTAAGAAATGTTCTCGACATCATGATACGGAATCATCGTTTAAGCATGTAGAAGTCCTCAATTGAGGGTTATTGGCCCCGGGAGGTTACAGGGCATAGCGGAGCTTGATGGCATCAGACGATTGGGAATTGGTAAGTT